GAAAATCCCAACTTTGCGGACACCCTGTATATGCTCATTGACAACAAAATAAAATACCTAGTGAAAACTATTTTATTTGAATGAAGTTGAAGAGCAAGGTTAGTTGTGAATATATTTAGAATTCCCGAATAATGTGTTAGGTGATCCCAATGCCGTATAAAATTCAGTGTGCTTCTGATGAGGTGATTTACTTGTAATACTTCTTGAGGTATCTCATCCCAAGCTAGCTGTACTTAATTCCGAAAAGCTGTTAGCGTTTGTGAAGTATGAGGTAGCGATTCCTTTTCTTCATATCATATCCCATAGATGTCTCGAGATCTAGACATCCACAGTCAGACTTGAGCGTGATTGAGTTAGCGCCGTTTTACACACAAGAGGATTACTCCGAAAATTATGGTCATAATTATGCCGAAAATTTTTGCTGTCGTATTATACGTAAAAGAATTCTTCTGAAAATTTTCATGGTAAAAATATAAAATCCGTTCGATAGAATAAGCGCGAGAATCGGCGCAGACGGTTATTTCCGTGCATGTCATTATCAAATGTCAACGTCAACAACGTAACCTCACTTAAAATTTGTGGGTGTGGTCCTGTTCGAGTCGTACGAAGAAGCGTTTATTGTTATTGTTTATTCATAATGTCGTGGAATCGGGAAGAAGTTACACTGTTGTTGGAGGAGTACCAAAAATGGCCGAACCTGTACAAGGTGAAGTCACCCAATCACAAAAACAGAAATTTGCGGCGTCGGGCGCTGGATGCGATAGTCCAAGCATTGAGAAGTTTTACAATATTAACCAAGATCTAGATTTCAAAAATAAATTTAAATCAACGAGGTCTGTTGTCTTTCCGATTATATTGGACGTCATACCCGTTAAGGTTATGTCCATTCGAAAATATTACTCTAATGCGCAGGCGTATCATATGAACTACTCGGAAATTTTGTTTGCTTGTGTCATACAGGTTGTAGAGAAAATCTTCAATATTTTTTCCATGCAAATTTTCGGCATAATTATGACTATAATTGTCGGAGTAATTATCTTATGTGTAAAACGGCTCTTAGTCTCTTGCAATACTATGGTGAGGATTACCTTGTTAAGAAGTAGGGCTTGGAGGAATGAAAAAAAGACGCCCTAGAGTGACATCTGTACTGATTTGGCAGCTCCAACAAGAACTGATCACACTGGCAGAACACAACAGAGTAACTTTGATGTGGGTGCCGGGACATCCAGGTAACGCAGGAAAGGATCATAGACATAAGCTTTATTTCGTATAATTCATCATTATATCACATGCTTACAATTTACCAAATACGCGTTTTCTTTCATCATTTCCGCAAACGCACTCTTATTTCTTGTGAATCAAGATCTCTAGGTAACATGGATATGAAGTAGCATGACGGGAGTCAGATATTTTTGTATCACCGTAAGATATAGGCCTTCAAAAGTTACAAAGCATTGAAAGATCGTTTAGTCACTTGCTGAACGAAATAGGTGTAGAACAAATTGTGAAGGATGGGCTCCGCCCTTATTTTCCAACAAGATTATGAGCGTCTCCCGATTGCTAGAGCTATCAGGTAACCAAATAAGTTCGTGCGGTTTTTAGTAGAAAAATATAAATTTTTATTGAGCAACAATATTTATTCGTCGAAGTAATAAATGACCTTTTGCCAACGTGGAACGTTGTAGCACTGGATTTGGAGTCAAAAAATTGGCGGAAGAATATGGAGTGAGCGGTAAGGCTTCCCAGCAGAGTTCAGAAATTTTTTCTCGGGTCACTTTTGCGGTATGAGGCTTGGCGTTATCCTGCAAGAATATCACTATCTTCCGATTGATCAAAGAAGGCTGTTTCTGGATGAGTGCTGCTTGTACTCGTTGAAGCTGCTCACAATACAAGTTAGCAGTGATGGTTTGACCCCTTTCCAGTTGCTGCCCACCAAACACACAACAAAACCTTGTTTCGGTGCAAGGAAGCCTTGGGCGTGTGTGGTACTGAATCAGTAGGCGGCAACCAATGATACGAACTTCAGAATTCGAATACAAGATCCATTTGTCGTCGCAGGTTAATAACCGATTAAGAAATGGTTCATTAGCGTTGCGTGAAATGTTTGCTGAACGAATGGTAAGACGACTTAATTTGTTATCATTCGTCAGTTAATGTGGGACCCATTTGCTTAACTTCCACGTCTTTCCTAGCTGATGAAGATGCAAACGAATAGTTTCAGGACTCACTATAAACATTTCTGCAAGTTCTTGGCACGAAATTATTTGGTTACCTGATACTACTTCGACACCGACCAACCCAACCTCCTTCCTTGACCACCTAGATCTCCAGACCATTCAGCAACTGACCATGCGTGGGATATAATGTCAAGAAAAGTGACCCCTTCACGTCATTTTCCATTAGCTGCTTGAAACATGGTGTTAAAATTGGGGAAGAACTTATCTTGAGAAGATGGAATCTTTGCAAATCGCTCACGTTCCAGTCTCAAAATGTAGTGTAGAAACTACTTAGGTTGCTGCTGTCAGACTTTTTATTAATTATTGGGGAATTATTGATGATATTGATATACTAAGTGAGATATAAATCCGAACATCCAGTTTAAATGGTTTTATTTTAATAAAAGTTGGTGAATGTATTTATCTTACTGTAAATAACAAGTGAACAAATTTTCAGCCTTATCAGTTGGACATTCCGGTTTTTATACTGCTTTTTTTAATTCACTAACGCTCTAAAAATGAATATTTCAGCCGTCAACTTAGTGAGTTTGATAGGGGCCGTATAGTGGGACTTCGGGAAGCTGGATTTTCTTTTCGGGCAATTGCAGTTAGAGTGCAAGGAAGTGTAGACACTGTGGTTAGGTGTTGTCAGGCACGGCTTCGAGAAGGCCGTACGCAAAGAGCAAGGGGCACTGGACGCCGCCGTAGAACAACAGACCGTGAGGATCGCCGCCTAAGATTATTGACCTTAAGGGACCGTTTCTGCACTACCAGGTCCATTGCAAATGAATGGTTTGCAGAACACGGAAGACCTATTGGCATGCGAAGTGTTTACCGATGAATGAGAAGTTTTGGCTTGTTTTCATACCGGCCACACTGGGTCCTCCCTTTAACTCGAGAACACCGACGTAATCGCCTTGAGTGGTGCAGACAACGGTCACTCTGGGATCAGGAATGGAACAGTATTGTCTTTAGTGACGAGTCTCGATTTTGTTTAGGCATGCTCGATGGTCGTGCCAGGGTTAGAAGGCGACGTGGTGAAAGGAGGAATACACAGTTTTTTGTGGAAAGACATGTTCTCTACCATCATACTTTACAGAAGGTATTCATATCAAGATACAAGCTTAGAGTACAAAAAAAACATATCTCATAATTTCTCAGATAAAGGACGTATAGCGTTAAGTGGGGCATGCTAGCAGGTCTACGGCATTAAGACGGGTAGCTGGTCTCTTAACTTTATAGTCAAATTTCTAATGACTTGAAAAGTCTGCATCCAAATGAGCTTAGAATCAAATGCAAATAATTTATTTTTCAAAAACACCTTATTGCGCGCTAATGTAAATAAAGCACAAGCGATTAAACCAAGTATATCTATTTTTTTGTATTCCCACACATTTTTTCTCGGGTCTTTTTAAGGTAGATTTTTATTATAAATCTGTAATAGCTACTGGCCTGAACCTAGATCATTTTTAAATGTATTCAACCCTTTTTGCAACATATCTTATTTATGTATTTTGCTGCAATGTTCTATTTAAACTGTATGTTTGAAATCACACTGTTGGAGTTATGGTTTGGAGTGCTATAGCTTATGGTTCCAGGTCACCTTTAATCTTCATCAGAGGTAACATGAACGTGCAGCGTTATATCCACGAAGTTCTAGAACCCCATCTTTTAGCCTATCTTGACACCCTGGCAGATCCAACTTTCCAACAAGATAATGCCCGACCACATGTTGCAAGAGTCACAATAGACTTCTTTCAACATAATGATGTCACATTGTTACCATGGCCACCAAGATCTCCCCAATTGAGCACGTGTGGGATATGATGGGTAGGAGATTGCTCAATTTGCAACGTCCTCCTCAGGCTCTAGAAACACTTCGAGAGGAGTTGGTGGTTGCCTGGAATGAGATACCACAGGAGGACATTGACCACCTGATCAGAAGCATGCCTAGGCGCGTTGGAGAATGCGTAGCACATCAGGGTGCATCCACACATTATTAAAGGTCAAAGGGCTTTAAAGCAGTGCAATCATTTTGAAACTTTTATCATTTACTTATTATGCTTCATTAAGTACTTATACAAAATTTTATTAAAATAAAACCATTTAAACTGGGTGTTCGGATTTATATGTCACTTAGTATATATCAAGAAACGTAACGTATATAAAATTTCATTCAACTAAAATCATTTTTACTGGCTGTTATAATTCTTTTGTTACTGAGCATACCTGATCCGTATACTCTTCTGATTTAACGCGGCTTGCTATGGATCTGATTTAGGCTTAACCTAGGTGTTCAGCAGGAGAGACAACATGACTATTCAACTTGAACTAGTTGAAGTTCTTCTATTATAACTGCTGGGTTAGAAGAACTGAGAAAAACATCGTCGGTCAGACCGTTCGACATTCATGGCTACCTCGTGTGGCAGGACTAAGCTCAGAAGAGCAAAGTCCGTTAGTATATCGGTAGTACCAAGAGACAGACAGAGACAGAGCTATGGGTTCATCCTGCAGAAGAAACCGAATTTTGGTAGCCCGCACCCCGATTCTGTGGTATGAAGAAAGAACTCAGACTTGAGAATTATCAAACGTTAGAGATTGTGGAAGCCTTCTTCTACATCAAAAGTGTAAATGGTTTTATAAGGCGAATAACGAAATCCATTCAATTTTGTTATTGGTTCCGCTACTGTGTATCAGCATTTTCCTGCGCATCTTGATGAAGGATATTACACGTACAGATTAAACTGAGCGTGAGAATTGCAAAGAAAAGCCCATGGAAAAAACATGTTAGGTAAGCGATCGCATTAATAATATTTATACACCGTATCTTTTGCCAGTGCAAAATTGCAAGGAAATGAAAGTTCATCATGCATTTGGAATATTATCGATCTGATGGGATCAGGCTTCGTTACGGATCAGTTCCATAGTGGATCATTGGTAGCACATCTATGTGGAGTATTTAAAAAAATGTACATCCGAATAAAGTCAATACAAATTTGCAGTAGAAAACCGGTGACGGCTTCCTCTGTGGCGAAAGACCCGGGGCTTGATTCTAAATGAGTTTCGACGGTTGAAATTGATCTCGATGGCGCCTTGTGACGATATACTTGATTCGTTATGATCATTTTGACATATGATCATACTGATCTTTTATATCCAAATTATCATGGCAATGTCAAAATTGTCATAGCTAATCAAGTATATCGTCACAAGGCGCCATCGAACTCAATTTCAACGGTGGAAACTCATTTAGAATCAAGGCTCTCGAGGTTGTTACTGACTTTCCTTTGACTACCCAAAATGTGAAGCAACCTGTCAAAGGAGGCTTTCCACAATCCAGTTAACTTTAACTCGTCTATCACTATTCCTATAATATACTAAGTGACATATAAATCCGAACACCCAGTTGAAATGGTTTTATTTTAATAAAATTTTGTATAAGTACTTAACGAAGCATAATAAGTAAATGATAAAAATTTCAAAATGATTGAACTGCTTTAAAGCTCTTTGACCTTTAATAATGTGTGGATGCACCCTGATGTGCTACGCATTCTCCAACGCGCCTAGGTATGCTTCTGATCAGGTGGTCAATGTCCTCCTGTGGTATCTCATTCCAGGCAACCACCAACTCCTCTCGAAGTGCTTCTAGAGCCTGACGAGGACGTTGCAAATTGAGCAATCTCCTACCCATCATATCCCACACGTGCTCAATTGGGGATAAGTCGGGAGATCTTGGTGGCCATGGTAACAATGTGACATCATTATGTTGAAATAAGTATATTGTGACTCTTGCAACATGTGGTCGGGCATTATCTTGTTGGAAAGTTGGATCTGCCAGAATGTCAAGATAGGGTGAAAGATGGGGTTCTAGAACTTCGTGGATATAACGCTGCGCGTTCATATTACCTCTGATGAAGATTAAAGGTGACCTGGAACCATAAGCTATAGCACCCCAAACCATAACTCCAACAGTGTGATGAACATGTCTTTCAACAAAAAACTGTGGATTTCTCCTTTCACCACGTCGCCTTCTAACCCTGGCACGACCATCGTGCATGCCTATACAAAATCGAGACTCGTCACTAAAGACAATACTGTTCCATTCCTGATCCCAGAGTGACCGTTGTCTGCACCACTCAAGGCGATTACGTCGGTGCTCTCGAGTTAAAGGGAGGACCCAGTGTGGCCGGTATGAAAACAAGCCAAAACTTCTCATTCATCGGTAAACACTTCGCATGCCAATAGGTCTTCCGTGTTCTGCAAACCATTCATTTGCAATGGACCTGGTAGTGGAGAAACGGTCCCTTAAGGCCAATAATCTTAGGCGGCGATCTTCACGGTCTGTTGTTCTACGGCGGCGTCCAGTGCCTCTTGCTCTTTGCGTACGGCCTTCTCGAAGCCATGCCTGACAACACCTAACCACAGTGTCTACACTTCTTTGCACTCTAACTGCAATTGCCCGAAAAGAAAGTCTAGCTTCCCGAAGTCCCACTATACGGCCCCTATCAAACTCACTAGGTTGACGAAATCGTACAGGTCTCCGTACTCTAGGCATCGTAACCGATCGTAAAGGATGTCAAGAACCAAAATCCGCCAACGTTGATTCTTTACTGCGGCTGAAATATTCATTTTTAGAGCGTTAGTGAATTAAAAAAAAAGCAGTATAAAAACCGGAATGTCCAACTGATAAGGCTGAAAATTTGTTCACTTGTTATTTACAGTAAGATAAATACATTCACCAACTTTTATTAAAATAAAACCATTTAAACTGGGTGTTCGGATTTATATGTCACTTAGTATAGTTCTGATGGTGAAATATTTAGAGCACACCTATAGATGGAGTCCCACAGGCTTTAGACTTGGTTGTGGTAGTTATACAGGGTGGGCCATAAAGGTGTTTGCAACTTCAATATACAATTAAAAATAACTACACAATATAAAAGAAAAATAAATGTATTTTTAAAAAGTAGAAAGACTTAAAAATAATGTTGTTAAAATGACTTCCTTGGGCTGCTTGGCACTCTTGAAACCGAAGCTGCAGATTTTGAATAACTCGTTGAAAAGTTGTTCTCGGTATTTTGTTACCTTCCTGAACAATATTCCTCTCCAGCTGCTCTAAATTAGTTGGATTATTCTCGTAGACCACCGGAATCATAGGAAAGAATCGCATGGAGAAAGATCGGGCCATTCAATATCCCCCATTTTCGAGTTTTCCGGGAAAGACATTTTTCAGCAGCTCTATAGATACGCTAGCTGTATGACATGTGGCCCCATCTGGTTGAAACCACATCCTAGAGATATTGCGTTGGAGTTCTTGCAAAGATGGCACCAAAAAGTCTGTTATCGTATTGCAATACTTGTTCGCTTTAACTGTCATCGCTTCCCGCTTTCGTCCTCAAAAAAGAACGGTCCAACAATTCCAGCCCACACGACTAGTTTAGGACTGTGGAGTGGACGTTCATGCAAGCGTCGGGAATTATACTAAGTGACATATAAATCTGAACACTCAGTTTAAATGGTTTTATTTTAATAAAATTTTGTATAAGTACTTAATGAAGCATAATAAGTAAATGATAAAAATTTCAAAATGATTGCATTGCTTTAAAGCCCTTTGACCTTTAATAATGTGTGGATGGACCCTGATGTGCTACGCATTCTCCAACGCGCCTAGGCATGCTTCTGATCAGGTGGTCAATGTCCTCCTGTGGTATCTCATTCCAGGCAACCACCAACTCCTCTCGAAGTGCTTCTAGAGTCTGAGGAGGACGTTGCAAATTGAGCAAACCCCTACCCATCATATCCCACACGTGCTCAATTGGGGATAAGTCGGGAGATCTTGGTGGCCATGGTAACAATGTGACATCATTATGTTGAAAGAAGTCTATTGTGACTCTTGCAACATGTGGTCGGGCATTATCTTGTTGGAAAGTTGGATCTGCAAGGGTGTCAAGATAGGGTAAAAGATGGGGTTCTAGAACTTCGTGGATATAACGCTGCGCGTTCATGTTACCTCTGATGAAGATTAAAGGTGACCTGGAACCATAAGCTATAGCACTCCAAACCATGACTCCAACAGTGTGATGAACATGTCTTTCAACAAAAAACTGTGGATTCCTCCTTTCACCACGTCGCCTTCTAACCCTGGCACGACCATCGTGCATGCCTAAACAAAATCGAGACTCGTCACTAAAGACAATACTGTTCCATTCCTGATCCCAGAGTGACCGTTGTCTGCACCACTCAAGGCGATTACATCGGTGTTCTCGAGTTAAAGGGAGGACCCAGTGTGGCCGGTATGAAAACAAGCCAAAACTTCTCATTCGTCGGTAAACACTTCGCATGCCAATAGGTCTTCCGTGTTCTGCAAACCATCCATTTGCAATGGACCAGGTAGTGGAGAAATGGTCCCTTAAGGCCAATAATCTTAGGCGGCGATCTTCACGGTCTGTTGTTCTACGGCGGCGTCCAGTGCCCCTTGCTCTTTGCGTACGGCCTTCTCGAAGCCATGCCTGACAACACCTAACCACAGTGTCTACACTTCTTTGCACTCTAACTGCAATTGCCCGAAAAGAAAGTACAGTTTCCCGAAGTCCCACTATACGGCCCCTATCAAACTCACTAAGTTGACGAAATCGTACAGGTCTCCGTACTCTAGGCATCGTAACCGATCGTAAAGGATGTCAAGAACCAAAATCCGCCAACGTTGATTCTTTACTGCGGCCGAAATATTCATTTTTAGAGCGTTAGTGAATTAAAAAAAAGCAGTATAAAAACCGGAATGTGCAACTGATAAGGCTGAAAATTTTGTCACTTGTTATTAGAGTAAGATAAAAACATTCACCAACTTTTATTAAAATAAAACCATTTAAACTGGGTGTTCGGAATTATATCTCACTTAGTATAATTTCGGACCGGAACCGACAATTTTGTTTGTTAACATGGCCATTGAGGTGAAAATTGGTCTCATCACCAAACATCACGTTGTTAAAACTGTTGAATCTGTCGAGCATCAAATTGACAACGTTAAGTCGGATATTGGCATCATCGGGTTTCAATTGTTGGACTAGTTGAACACGCTCCACATTGCCTGCGGATCTTGCAGATACTTATTTAATGAATGATTTCAGCGCCAATGTTGGCCAACCCAGGCCAATGCTCATTGGTTGATCCACATATTAGTGATAACGTGATCGGGCCCCAATGTGTAAACGCAACGACGTTAGAACTTGTATGATATAACTAACAAAAGTCGTCTGACCAAACCACTAACGAGTACGAAAAAATTCCTGGCAGTTTTTTTCAGAAAGCCGTAAATTATGCTGCGACATCTATTCAAGCTTGAATAAAGAGAATGCGGAATAAAAAAACAAATTCCGTAGCAAAAGAATTCGAATAGCGCTTGCAACGCGTGTCCATATAATTATTGGAGGACATCAGCCGAAGCTTTACCTTCAAACGTAACTCACTTAATTTCATAACAATGGCACGATTCGAAATAATCGATCAATAATAATCGGTACTCGATATAATATAGTATGGCGTTTAATATTTTGCAGTTGTTAAACAAAAGTGTCCTTAAGAAAGGTGTTTAAATAAATAAATATATCACTGCAAGCATTGCATAGTCAGAGAAATATAGTTACGTTTATTTTTGTTTATGGAAATACTTTGCAGTCAGTTTTTGAATATTTTCTTCATAGGAAACCTAAAACTGCTATTAGACTTTGCTGGGCAAATTATGTATTTCCTAAATTCGAATATAATCATAAAGCCTAGAAGTGTCTTAGGGTT